GGTGTAACAGTCAGTCAGTGCTGTGTGTTGAGGTGTAACAGTCAGTGCTGTGTGTTGAGGTGTAACAGTCAGTGCTGTGTGTTGAGGTGTAACAGACAGTGCTGTGTGTTGAGGTGTAACAGTCAGTCAGTGCTGTGTGTTGAGGTGTAACAGACAGTGCTGTGTGTTGAGGTGTAACAGACAGTGCTGTGTGTTGAGGTGTAACAGTCAGTCAGTGCTGTGTGTTGAGGTGTAACAGACAGTCAGTGCTGTGTGTTGAGGTGTAACAGTCAGTGCTGTGTGTTGAGGTGTAACAGTCAGTGCTGTGTGTTGAGGTGTAACAGACAGTCAGTGCTGTGTGTTGAGGTGTAACAGACAGTGCTGTGTGTTAAGGTGTAACAGACAGTCAGTGCTGTGTGTTGAGGTGTAACAGACAGGCAGTGCTGTGTGTTGAGGTGTAACAGACAGTGCTGTGTGTTGAGGTGTAACAGTCAGTCAGTGCTGTGTGTTGAGGTGTAACAGTCAGTCAGTGCTGTGTGTTGAGGTGTAACAGTCAGTCAGTGCTGTGTGTTGAGGTGTAACAGACAGTCAGTGCTGTGTGTTGAGGTGTAACAGTCAGTGCTGTGTGTTGAGGTGTAACAGTCAGTGCTGTGTGTTGAGGTGTAACAGACAGGCAGTGCTGTGTGTTGAGGTGTAACAGACAGGCAGTGCTGTGTGTTGAGGTGTAACAGTCAGTGCTGTGTGTTGCGGTGTAACAGACAGTCAGTGCTGTGTGTTGCGGTGTAACAGATACTCGGTACTGTGTGTTTAGGTATTACAGACAGTACTGTATGTTGAGTACTATATGTTGACATGTTACAGACAGTACTGTATGTGTTTAATGTGTACAGCATATTGATCTCAGTGACATACATCATGAAATTATTGTCATGTTTAATGAATATTCATCATCTCACAGTAGAAATAAATGGAAAAATTAATTCCTCATGATGCTAGCTCTGAAGATTTACTTTCTTAACTGCTTTCATTTATAACACACAGCAGTGTTAAGTCTATCACATACATTACATCCCTAGTACTTATTTATCTTATAACTGGAAGTTTGTACCTTTGATTACATTCATCCAATTTCCCCTTTCCCAAATCACCTCGCCCCCTGCCACTTCTGGTAAAGTCAAGTCTGATTGCTTTTTCTATGAGTTTGTTAAGTTGTTAATTTTTGTTGAAGTGTAATTGACCTACAATACTATGTTAGCTCTTAGTGTACAGTGTGGTGATTTCATATTTCTATACAATTCAAAATAATCACAATCATAAACCTAGTTACTACTTGTCACCATATAAAGCTATTATATAGCTGTTGCTTATACCCCTCACACTGTACATTTCCTGCCTGTGGCTCATTTATTTTGTAACTGGAAGTTTGCGCCTCTAATCTCCTCTACCTGTTTCTCTCGTTATCCTGGCCTCCTCCCCTGTTTATTCTGTGGGTCTGTGTCTGTGACTATTTCTGTTCTATGTCCATTTGTTTTGCTTTCTAGAGTCCACATATAATCAAATAATACAGTATTTGTCTTTCTCTGACTTATTTCACTTAGCATGATACCCTCTTGATCCATGCATGTGTCTCAAATGGCAAGATTTCATTCTTTCTTACGGCTGAGTAGTATTCTGTGTGTGTGAAATGCTATCTCATCACAGCATGTCGCTAATCAGTGGTGTTGAGCATCATTTTATAGGTTTATTGGCCATCTATATGCCTCCTTTAAGAAAGAATGTTCTTAATGTGTGTGTGTAGGTTATAAGAGGGACTGGAAGATGACATTTGAAATCACATCAAAGAGGCCAGATGAGTCAGATTACAGAAGCCTGCGAGAGGCAGATTCGAAAATATTCTTGAATTTGAGGCCAGAAGGAGCATTTGTGGGCTTGGGGGTGAGTGAGCGAGCAGATGAGCCCAGGAAGTGAGGCCTCTTGGCTCTGCCGTGCTGCTTTCCCCATCAGTCAGAGAGGTCAGAGGCCCTCCGGATGCGGCGGGGGGCAGACGTGTGCCCCTCTTGCTGGGGGGAGCGTCAGGGTCACATTGCAGAAACACACATGAGATGTTGGTTCCGTCGCGGCTGTCTTTGGAAAGGGCAGCCCAGCGCTGAGCCGTCCTTGCTGTCCGGCGCCTGCCTTGTTAAGAAGGCCTCGGTGGCTGCTTTCTCTTCCCAGCTCCGGCGCCTGCCTTGTTAAGAAGGCCTCGGTGGCTGCTTTCTCTTCCCAGCTCCGGCGCCTGCCTTGTTAAGAAGGCCTCGGTGGTTGCTTTCTCTTCCCAGCTCCGGCCTCTTCAGCAGCATCTGGAGGTGCTTGCTGTCTTCTAAGTGGGGTACAGTGTGCACCTAAATTATTTATGGAAACTGATGATATCTTTAGTGGAAAATAACCAAGAAAAAGCTTGAGCATGGCACTAATTAGCTAATATAGTTGAAACGAAGGGAATAGTTCAGACTCTAAGTATGACTCAAAAATAAAGAGAAATGATTTTTCAGTGGGAAGTGATATAGTTCTCATCATTATTCAAAATGACTGGATTTATGAGTCATTCATTTAGCAAAATTTCCTGAGTGCCTACTAGGTGCCCAGCGCTGTGCGAGGTCCAGGGTGAAGCCGGCCGGAGATCCAGCTCCTCCCTGAAAGCACTTGGAGATGAAGCAATGTGCTCTATGATGTGCTGAGCGCCTGCTGGGAGAATGCGGAAGGAACCCTGGGGCATGCGGGTAGTGTGGCTCAAGGGCCCACCTCGCGCTGGGATTTGAAGCGGGTTAAGAGCACCGGGGGGGGCTTCCCTGGTGGCTCAGATGGTAAAGAATCTGCCTGCAATGCGGGAGACTCAGGTTCGTTCCAGGGTTGGGAAGATGCCCTGGAGAAGGGAGTGGTTACCCACTCCAGTATTCTTACCTGGAGGATTCCATGGACAGAGGAGCCTGGTGGGCTACAGTCCATGGGGGTCACAAAGAGTCAGACACGACTGAGTAACTCACACACACACACACACACACGCGAGTACCAGGAACCCAGGGGCAGAGCAGGGCTGGGACTTCCCAGGTAGCCCTGCAAGCTTGCTAAGTTACGGTCTTCTCAGCCCTGGCTGTGTTGCTCTCACAGACCCAAAGTTTTAAAAAAGTATACATATATGTATGTATATGTTTTTCTATATTCATATACATTAATGTATGATTTTCATCTTTCACTGTAGCCTTAACATGAGCAATAGCAAGTCCTAGACAGTGGTACGGGGCTGCCCAAGGAAGAAGCGGGCAGCTTCCCCACCCCCATCTCTACAAACCCAGAGGGAACTGTCCATTCGTATTGAGGGCAATGACCAACGTCCAGAATCATCATCCTGGCCATCCAAGCTTTTTTTAATTTCTTAGATCCACTGTTTAAATGAGGCATACCAGATGATCACATCTTAAAGAAAACCAGTCATTCTTAAATAAATTTACAAAGAACGTTTACACATACCCTTTGGTCTAATTTCCTTGGCAGCCCTGTACACGAGTTTATCCCCATTTTCTTGGTCACGGCTCGGAAAGGTCAAGGGGCTCGCTCAAGGCCCCTCAGTTACAATCAGAGAGGGGCCTCCAACCTAGTTCTTCTGACGCGCTTTACTTTTTGGATCGGGTGATGAATTTCTGTGGGATGACGGATTCTTCCATGATGCCAGCCAGGTGACAGAGGAATGGATCCAAGTTAGCATCAAGGAGGAAGGCAGCGATGGTCTTTGGTCTTTATCATTTAGACCATCCTGCCCCACACCACGGAGAAGGCAATGGCACCCCACTCCAGTCCTCTTGCCTGGAGAATCCCATGGACGGAGGAGCCTGGTGGGCTGCAGTCCATGGGGTTGCTGAGAGTTGGACACGACTGAGCGACTTCACTTTCACTTTTCACTTTCATGCATTGGAGAAGGAAATGGCAACCCACTCCAGTGTTCTTGCCTGGAGAATCCCGGGGACGGGGGAGCCTGGTGGGCTGCCGTCTGTGGGGTCGCACAGAGTCGGACACGCCTGAAGCGACTCAGCAGCAGCAGCAGCGGCAGCCCCACGCCAGGCCACTCTGAGCCTGGACATCCCACCGCAGGAGGGGGAGGGAGGGTGGCGTCCCGGGAGGCTTTCTGAGCTAGGTTGGGATGCAGCAAACGCCATGTGCCCCACAGTCTGCTGGCCAGAACTCAGTCAGCTGGGCTCATCTCAAGATCCAGGGAGCAGGGAAATACGGTCCCAAGTGTCCCAGTGCTTCCTAGCACCGCTTAGACTAAGAAAGAGGAGCGTGGTTGTTTGGTGTTCGGTGGACCATCAGTGACACAAGCCAACACTGGCTGAGCGCTTACAGCCCACCAAGCAGCTTTCGGTGACCTCCATCTGTACTGAGCATTCAATCCACACATCAGAACCGGGGGAGGCACTGCTGCCTGTCCCATCTATGATAAGGAGCCTAAGGCCCGGGGCTTCCCCCGTGGTTCAGCCATAAAGAGTCTGCCTGCAATGCAGGAGGTCTGGGTCTGAACCCTGGGTCGGGATGATCCCTTAGAGAAGGGAATGGCAACCCACCCCAACATCCTTGCCTGAGAAGTCCCATGGGCAGAAGAGCCTGGAGGGCTATAGTCCATGGGGTCGCAAAGAGTTGGATATGACTTAGCAACTCAACAACAACAAAATCTCAGGTACGGAGCAGGTAGGGATCTGGACACACACTGAGCTCCCTGCTCTAGACCCCTGAGCGTGGCCGGCCCCACTCGGCCCTCCTAACTCCTCATTTGCTCCATCGCCTGCCTCCGGCCCCTCCTCCCGACCCCGGCCGGTCTCTCCAGGTCTCATGTGTCCCCTTCTGCCAGCGTGTCCCCCCTAGTCTGCCCTCCACTCTGTCGCCAGTGATCCTGAAAGCCAGGCGTGGTTCTGTCTCTGTCCCTCCCTCCAGCGCTGGCCTGTCATGCTCGGGATGAAGTCCAGACCCCCCTCGCCACAGTCTGCGCCCACCTGGTTTGACGGCACCTCCATCCTCGCCTCCCCCGAGGCGATGTGCTTCAAACCCTAGGCACCACCCCCTGAGCTTCTCACCCGCCCCATTCACCACGAAGCCCGACTGTAAATTCATGCCTTCCAATGCTGTTCCTTCTTTCTGGAATATCCTTCCTTCTTGCATTTGCCAAATTCCCAGATCTTCAGGACAAGGCTCAGAGACCACCCACCCCATACCTCCCCTCCAGGCTCCCCGAGCTGGGTCCTTCATTCTGTCTCTGTGCTTCCCGAGTTTGCATCAAGGCCCCAGCCCTTCCCACCTTGCCTTGCTGTCTGTTCTTGCCTTGAGTGTCTCCCTCCCCAGACCAGGAGCAACTCGGGGTCAGGACAGCATCTCATCCACAACCCTTTCCACGGGGCCCAGAACAGGGCCGAGCTCTTCCTCTGTCGTGTTGTCAGGAGGAAGGGAGCCTGTGCTCCATGACCCGCTCTTCCCCGGCCAGATCGGACCCTGGTTGGAGGGAGGGAGGGCACTTGTCTGATCACTGGTTCTTGGCTCTGGGAGCCTTGTGAAAATTACTAATGGCCAAGCATCACCCCCGGCTTCCCAGGTGGCCTTAGTGGTAAAGAATCAGTCTGCCAGTGCAGGAGAGGCAAGAGACTTGGGTTCAGTCCCTGGGTCAGGAAGATGCCCTGGAGTAGGAAGTGGCAACTCACTCCAGTATTCTTGCCTGGAGAATCCCAAGGACAAAGGAGCCTGACGGGCTACAGTCCACGGGGCCGCAGAAGGGGGACACGACTGAGCACACACACAGAAGCATCAACCCCAGCAACTCTCAGTCGATGGTCCCCTGCGATTCTGACACGTGGCCGGGGTGAGGACCACTCCAGGCCTCTCACGCGCACACAGATCCCCTGGGATCATGCTGAAGCGCCAGTTCGGATCCAGTGGGTCGGGGTGGGGTTGGAGGGTCTGCATTTCTCACAAACTCCCCAGTGATGCTGATGCTGCAGGCTCACAGACCACGGTTTGAGGAGGAAAGGACTTAGATGACTCTCCCATCACTGATGTGGCGTCGGATGCCCCTGAGAAGGGGGAGGAGGCCTGGAGGCCTGCAGGTCAGAGCAGAGAGGTGAGGGGGAGGGAAAACGATGAGGTTGGGGAGACGGGGTCCCCGGGATCTGTCAGGGAGGATGCACGGGGATGGGGGGACCCTTGGCACATGCGTGGTGGGGAAAGTGCTGGCCTGCATGCTGCGTGCCCAGGGTCTGTGGCCCTGCGAATCGCAACAGCTAGTGCTTATCAGGCGCCCGGCACTGCCCCAGGCTGGTAATTCATGTGATCCCCTCGACCTTCTTACAAATGAGACGACAGAGGAAGGAGAGATTCAGTGACCCACCCACGGTCCTGCAGTAGTGAACGACAGAGGACCGGCTCCGACTCTGGTATGAGCGACTCACCCCTTCTTGTATCACCGCTCTGGTTTCTGAGCCAATGCATTTCTATTTCTTTGTTCATCTCGCCAAGCCTTCGATGGGCCCTGGCTCTGATCGCGGTCGGGCACGGGTGCTGGGAACGCGGGGACGCCACTGCCCCAGCTGCCCCCACAGAGCACTCGCCCTGTGGGCAGATCTGCGCTTGTGAGCAGCCCCCTACACCTGGCCCCAGCTGGAGCCCGCGCCGGGCTGGGAGGAGGGTCCCGGACGGCCGCGCAGGGCTCTGGGCGGATGCAGGCTGAGGGGCCAGGGCCCTGCCTTTCCTACACACCCGCCCGCCCTGCCCTCCCCAGCCCTCTGCCCCAGCCAGCCCTGAGTTTCCTCGTCCCAGCCTCCAAGCCACCCACCTGCTCATGCTTTACAAAATCAATTCCATTCTATTATTTACTAATTGCTTAGTTATTATCTTGATGGATGGAATAGGGCACCCAGCCCTCGGGGCACCTGGAAAACATGCTGTCTTCCAGCCTACCTGCTCTGTTCTGATAACAGCAGAGCCTCAGGCCGCGAGGCGGGGAGGCCGGGTGGGTGGGCTGGGTACCCCTGCCCCCTGGGTCCCTGGCTCCTGGGCACTGACAGGCCCCACCTCCCCTCAGGTGGGTGAGCTCAGTGGCCGAGGTCACAGGTCTCCTTCCGGGAACATGGTCGCTGTGGGAGATAAGACCCTGAGCTCCAGGTGGGGGCGCGGGGTCAGGAGGAGGACAATCCAAACCAGAGCATCAGGCAGAAGGGAAAGCTGACCCCAGCCAGACCTTCCTTCGTCCAAGCGTCTGTCTTACTGGGCCTTGTGTTGGTATCATTGCCTCCACCATCAGGCTGGGAGCATCTGGTGTTTTTCATCTCTGTCATCCCTGGAGCCTGCATGGATGACGTCATGTGTATCCCATGGGGGAGTCAGCCCGAGGATTATCATTCCACTGAGAAGGACTGATGCTGAAGCTCCAATACTTTGGCCACCTGATGCAAAGAGCTGACTCATCGGAAAAGACCCTGATGCTGGGAAAGATTGAGGGCAGAAGGAGAAGGGGACGACAGAGGATGAGATGGTTGGATGGCATCACTGACTCAATGGACATGAGTTTGAGTAAACTCCAGGAGTTGGTGATGGACAGGGAGGCCCGGCGTGCTGCAGTTCACGGGGTCACAAAGAGTTGGACATGACTGAGCGACTTTCACTTTCACTTTTTCACTTTCACGTTCTCCTGTTGCAGAGCGTGGGCTCCAGGGCACACAGGCATCAGTAGCAGCTGACGGCAGGCTTGGAAGCTGAGGCACCCGGGCTTACTTGCCTTGAGGCTTGTGGAATCTTCCCAGCCAGGGATCAAACTGTGTCCCCTGGATTGGCAGATGGATTCTTAACCCCTGGACCACCAAGGAGCTCCAGCCTGTGGTTTCCTGGGAGTCTTTTAAAGCCATCTGTCACAAGCTGGAATCAAGATTGCTGGGAGAAATATCAATAACCTCAGATATGCAGATGATACCACCCTTATGGCAGAAAGTGAAGAGGAACTAAAAAGCCTCTTGATGAAAGTGAAAGAGGAGAGTGAAAAAGTTGGCTTAAAGCTCAACATTCAGAAAACTAAGATCATGATATCTGGTCCCATCACTTCATGGCAAATAGATGGGGAAACAGTGGAAACAGTGGCTGACTTTATTTTTGGGGGCTCCAAAATCACTGCAGATGGTGACTGCAGCCATGAAATTAAAAGACGCTCACTCCTTGGAAGGAAAGTTATGACCAACCTACACAGCATATTAAAAAGCAGAGACATTACTTTGCCAACAAAGGTCCATCTAGTCAAGGCTATGGTTTTTCCAGTGGTCATGTATGGATGTGAGAGTTGGATGATAAAGAAATCTGAGCACCGAAGAATTGATGCTTTTGAACTGTGGTGTTGGAGAAGACTCTTGAGAGTCCCTTGGACTGCAAGGAGATCCAACCAGTCCATCCTAAAGGAGATCAGTCCTGGGTGTTCACTGGAAGGACTGATGCTGAAGCTGAAACTCCAATACTTTGACCACCTGATGCAAAGAAATGAGTCATTGGAAAAGACCCTGATGCTGGGAAAGAGTGAAGGCAGGAGGAGAAGGGGATGACAGAGGATGAGGTGGTTGGACGGCATCACTGACTCAGTGGACATGAATCTGAGCAAGATTCAGGAGTTGGTGATGGACAGGGAGGCCTCGCGTGCTGCAGTCCATGGGATCACAAAGAGTTGGACACGACTGAGCGACTGAACTGAACTGAACTGATAGTAATCCATTGTATGGATTACATTGTACATAGGCTATTCAACCAATTCTTTATTGATAAATATTTGTGTTTTTATGCTTCAGTAAGTGACCATTTGCTGATATCATTTTGCTTTTCTTTTGGTATGCTTTGGGGTAGATTTCTAGAAATGAGATTACCAGGTCACAAGGTAAATGCCTATATACTGAAGGTAAGGTAAATGCCTATATAATTCTGCTGCAGATTGTCAAAGTCTTGACAGGACTGCATGTTCTTTGTCTTCTGCCAGCATTGTCTGACAGCGACTATTTCCCTAAGGCTTCTCCAACGGTATATGTTGTTAAGTGTTTGGAGTTTGCCAATACGATAGGTAAGAAGTAGTGGTATCTTGACTTAGTGTTAATTTTCATTCTCTATTTTCATAAATTTAGGGGCTACATGTTTTTTTTTCTTCTGGAAACTGTCCATTCAAATCCTTTATCCATTTTCTACTGTTAGGGGTACTCTTTGTGAGGTTAAGTTTAAAAATATTTTTCCAGTTTAACAGTTTTTCACTGTGTTTATTTTTCTATATGGAAAAATTTAAACTTTTTTATATAGTAATTTTACTATTTTCCCCCCTCATTGCTTCTGCATTTTTAGTCATAGTTAAGAAAATGTTTTTCCAACCCCAGGTTATGAAGGAATTCACTATGCTTTCTTTACAGTATTTTATTGTTTTAGCTTTTACAATTAGATTCCTAGTTCATATGGAATTTATCCTGGCATGCAATGTGAAGATCGAATCCGATTTTACCTTTTTCTATGTGGCTATCCAGCTGTCTCAACACAACTTATTAAAATGTTCTTTGCCTCCACTGACTTGAAATACTGCCTTTATTGTATATCAAATTTCCATATGCACTTGGATCTATTTTTGGATTTTCACCAATTTGTGCACCAGTACTATACTGTTGTAATTATAGAAGCTTTAAAATATGTTTGACACCTTATAATGCTAGGATCCCTTACTGCTCTTATTTTTTAAGCTTTTTTCCTGGCTACTCTTACTAGCTTTTTTTCTTATAAATTTTATAATCAACCTCTAATGCTCCAGGGGGGAAAATGAAGGTGTTTTGGGAGTGGAAGGTCTCATTAAATTTACAAATTAACTTATACAGAATTGACATTTTTATAACCTTACATTTTTCTACTCAAGAACATGGTGTATATATATATATACACATCAGTTTGTGCAAGTGCACATATTTGCATTTCAGGAACTTTTCTTTCCTTCCCATAGGTTTTGCACATTCTTTGTTAAATTTATGTCTAAATATTTTTTTAAGTTTTGGTATTATAAATGTGGTCTGCTATGCTGTTATTTTCTTTTAACTTATTTTTTATATTTATGAAGACTTTTGGTTTCTGCATGTTAATTTTATCTTACTCTTCTACTAAATTCTCAATATTCAGAGCAGTTTTTCCATATTCTTTAGGCTTTTCCAAATACATATGGTTGCATCATCTGCAAACTGAGAGAGTTTTTACTTCTCCTTTCTTATTCCAATGCCTCTACTTCTTTTCTCTGATCTAATTTTATTGGGGAGAACCTCCAGTGCATGTTAGTTACAATGTGCTATTTTTATATGTGCTATTAGCTTTGGTTTGTTATTATTTTTGTTTGTTTGCTAATATTTTATTTAAGACTTCTCTATCTGCATTCCTAGATGAGATTTATGGGGCCTGTTTTTAAAGGCTTCTACGGTAACCATGGCCTAAGCATGAGTAACAGCATGAACTACTAAGATTCTCATGAACTTCACTCTCAGCTTCCGCACACTGGCTCGTGTCGTCACCTTCAAAATATCCCTCCCTTTGCTTCCTTTTTGTCATCTTCCTCTGGTTTTTACATTTTTCTTGAGTCACCCTCATGTTTGCTTTCTGTTTCCTGGAACTCAGGCCTGATGATGCTGGTAAGTCCTGGGAATTGATGAGGCCTGATGGTTCTGCTTGGACTGGCAAGGAGATCCAACCAGTCCATCCTAAAGGAGATCAGTCCTGGGTGTTCATTGGAAGGACTGATGCTGAAGCTGAAACTGCAATACTTTGGCCACATCATGCAAAGAGTTGACTCACTGGAAAAGACCCTGATGCTGGGAGGGATTGGGGGTAGGAGGAGAAGGGGATGACAGAGGATGAGATGGTTGGATGGCATCACTGACTCGATGGACGTGAGTTTGAATAAACTCCGGGAGTTTGTGATGGACAGGGAGGCCTGCCGTGCTGCGGTTCACAGGGTTGCAAAGAGTTGGACACGATTGAGTGAGTGAACTGAACTGAACTGATGGTGCTGACTTAGTCCTGGGGATCTAAGAGACCTGATGGTACTGGGTTAGTCTTGGGGATCGATGATGCCTGATGGTATTGGCTAAGTGAATAGACCTCAGATTCACACAGACCAACCTGGTATTGATTGAGTCACAGCTCAGCCACTTAACAGTCCTGTGACTTTGGGCCAACTGTGGAATCTTTTCAAGCCTCAACTTTCTCGTCTGTAAAGTGGAAGTAGTGTTAATGCCTTACTTCACAGTATTGCTGGTGTGAAACAGTACAGTTAGCATGTGTCTGCTATAGCTGTTTACGAAACCCACTCTTTCTTCCTGAGCATATCTTTAAAAACATTTCCATTCTTCCTTGTAGTTAGAGGTGGCCATGCGCCTGTGCTAGCCAATGGAATGTGATCAAAATAATGTGTGACACGTCCAGGCGAGTCCCATAAAAACTTCCCGCAGGCCCCGTCCATGCTTTTCCCCTCCTGCTAGTTCGCTGTAGACACACAAGGCACAGACAGCGCTGCAGCAGCCAGAAGGAGGCTGGGCCCCTCCGTTACCGCATGGAAGAGCTTGCTTGCTCGCTGGGTCGCTCAGTCATTTCTGGCTCTTTGAGCCCCCACGGACTGTAGCCGGCCAGGCTCCTCTCCATGGCGCTGTCCAGACCAGAACACTGGAGTGGGCTGCCATTCCCTTCTCCCGGATCTTTCCGACCCGGGGATCGAACCCGGGCCTCCTGCACTGCAGGCAGATTCGTTACCCTCTGAGCCACCAGGGGAGCCCTGGAGTAGAGTCACTCGCTAATCAGGGACATGGATCAGACTCCGGCGAACACACAGGGAGCTTCTGCCATGTCTGGTCCACTGCCGTTCCCAGGCGTCACTGGCCTCAGCGGCCGGCGCCTTCACCCCTTGCTGCGCCCGGGGGGCAGCCTTACTCCTCTCCCTTCCCCTCTCCTGCCCCGGGACCCCGCGGAGCCGTCCTCAGCCCGCTCAGGTCGTGGGTGCGTCCTTGGCTCCGAGCTGCCGGGCCCCCGCCCCAGTCACAGCCCCGATGGCGAGCTCTTTGTTCCCACGCCTTCTCCGGTCACCGGGCCCACAGCTGGGGCTCAGCAAGGCCAGCGGGCTGAGCAAGGAGTGCGTGTGCAGCGCGAAGATGCGCCAGATCCATGTTCTGAAGGCATCGGAAGGCTGGCTGACGTCTGCCAAAGGCTGTGGATGCAGCACACTCAGCACCTCGTCCGGCTTCAAGTCTCACAGCGGCCTGTTGGCCCGGTCACAGCTCTGGGTCGCTGCCGGGACGGCTCTCGGTGAAGCTCTCGTTTTTGCGCTGGTGCCAACGGTGTGGCGGCAGGCCCGCGTCCCCCACCAGGTGAGCGCCAAGCCCCGGCTCTGTGTGGAGCTGGCTGTGGACATGCCGTGCCGCCCCGGGCCCAGGCTCAGCCCCTCGCCCCTCCGGCTCAGACAGTGTTTCTGGGAGGAGGGAGACGGTCTGAGGGAGGTGGGCCTGGGAAGCGACAGGGCCTGAGGCCGGCGGCAGACCTACAGCTTCTTTGGATCCCACGTGGCGTCCACCTCAGCAAGTCCAGAATCGCGGGTCCCGGCCTCGGTTCCCCCGCCTCGGTCAGCTCAGCTCCAGCGACTCAGGGCTCCACACTCCCCATAGGGAGGCCATCACCTTACGAAAAGATTCTGGGGGCTGCCGCCACCCCAAAGTGAAGGAGAAGGTCGCTCAGTCATGTCCGGCTCTTCGTGACCCCATGGACTGTACAGTCCCTGGGATTCTCCAGGGCTGGATTCTGGAGTGGGTAGCCTTTCCCTTCTCCAGGGGATCTTCCCCACCCAGGGATCAAACCCAGGTCTCCCGCATCGCAGGCGGGTTCTTCACCAGCTGAGGCACCAGGGGAGCCCGCCACCCCCAGGAGTCACACGAAATTAAAACAGAACTAGAAATACGGTAGTCCAAATGAGTTCTGATTTTCCGTTCATGGTTGTCGCTCCGACAGGGCTTCCGCGGCATTCCACGCGGACGTGCTTCTAAAATGCTCTCTTCCTCCTCCTTTCTTGCTGCTGCCTCTGTTTGCTTCCTTCTTCACTCCAGCTGGGCCCCCGCCTTGCGACCCAGGAGGCAGGCGGCGCTCGTCCGAAAGCGCCTGGGGACCGCGGGGCCCTGTGCCGGTGTGCGGAGCCCATTCTGTCCCCGTGCGGGAGAGGAGCCAGGCCCCCAGCTCCTGCGGGCTCGGAAGGGGCGGGAAGGCCCGCAGGTGCAGGGCAGTGGGAGCTGAGCCGGGAGCAGGCGAGCAGGCAGGGGCCCCGGAGAGGCCGCAGCTCGCCCTGGGGCTGCGGGCAGCGAGGGGCGGGGGCTCCCTGCCTCTGAGGCCGGTCGGGGCGGCGGGTTGCGGCAGGGACCAGGGGCCCCGGCTGTCCGGCCGTTCCTCTGGGGCTCCTGCAGCGGCGGAGGAGAGCGATGAGCGAAACGCACCCCCTTCAGAGCCAGGTTGACCAGACCCAAACCTGGGCCCCATCATGGCCTTGGGAACATCACTCCTTGTTTTCTGAGACAAGACTTGGTCCAAACGGGAAGGGATCATAAAGGCCAACTAGTCAGCAGCCTCGATCTACAGAGAAGGCTGCTGAGACCTTGTGCGGACAAGGAGCTCTTCAAGAACGGGCTGCTAGAAGGCAAGCAGGAAGAAGCCTGAGCCTTGACTTCTGACGCTGCCCAAGTACTTTACCCAGTACGTCCTTGTGAATATGGTGCAGACAGCGTTCGGCCACCAGTTCCCCCCCTTAACACGCATCCCTCCGACCATCCATGCTCAGATGCACACGTTGCTCCACTTAACCGCCTTATGCCTCATTCCATCTGCGACTCATCTGTGACCCATCCTTCCACTTGTCAGCCTATCCAACTAGTCTGTATCCACCCTCTACCCCCACCCTAGCCACCATCCATCCATCTATCCACCTGTCTACCCGTCTTTCCATCCAACCACCTTGACATCCATCAGCCTGGAGGAAGAGGGCAACGACTTGGGTACATGACCAACAGTGTCTGCCACAGGATGTGAGAAGCTACAATTATTACCATTAAACTCTTTCTTCCAAATTCAATTCAGTGATTACTGAACTTCTATCAAGTTCACAGCATCGTGCTAAGCACTGCTAGGTAGGGGTAGGGATTCAGGAAAAAGCCCCCAAACAAAATATTTCCTCCTAAAGAAATATGACAACTGAAAGCAACTTTAGACCTTGGGTTGGGTCTTAGGCTGGGAAAATAAAAGAAGTATAAAGAACGTAATTAAGACAATTGATGAAATCCTAATATGGATTGTAGAATAGACAATAGTATATTGTTTGTATGTTTAATTTCCTGATTTTTGTAATTGTACTGTGGTTGTGTAAGAGAATGTCCTTTTTCTTAGGAAATTCACACTGAAGTATTTACGGATAAAGGGACTTGAAATCTCTAGCTTATTTGAAATAATTTCAGAGAAAATATTTTTATCATATCTGTAAATATATAATAATGTGTAATATATAAATATACTATATATGGTAATATATACAAAGGAGTAAGAGAGAGGAAGCAAATGGGGCAAAAAGTAAGCAATTGATGGATCTGGGTCAAGATTAAATGGGGGAGCCTTCCAGCCACAGTAAAATCCTAAAGTAAGGAAACCCCAAGAAAAGGAAAAAGAATATATGGGGGAGACTTTACTATTGCAAATTTTTTGTTTGTTTCAAATGATATGAAATTAAAAGTCATTCTCCCAAATCAATAGTTCTGTTGTCATGGAGCCTATAATTTAGATGAAGGAGATACTCACTGGAAACCCAAATAGGAGGAAGACAAACTGTGTATTAATTTGTGAGTGTTCATGTTCCCTTCCCCACTCCACAGTGTCTGTAATAAAGAGCGAGAGGGCAGAGAATGAAAGAAACATGGCAGGAGATGGGGCCAGGGTGGGCTTGTGAGCGCCGCAGCTTCAGGGTGGATGAGGGCTCGGGAGCTGTGAAGGAGCTTCTGAAAATCTGCCGTGGATTATGAATTTGATTCTTTTTCAAGTGCTGTTGGTTGCTTGACTGTCTTTGGGTGCAACTTTTTGCAAAGACTGGCTCACATGGAGCCCTGTGTCTTATCCCGGTTACAGATGTGTGACTGGTCCCCATCAGCGAGGACTGCAGCAAGGGTGACTGGGGAATAGGCTGGTCAGAGAAGATACATTCAGGCTTGAGATGTAAACGAGCGCAGGTTAGGCAGAGAGGAAGAGGAAATCATGGGAACCCAGGTGACAGTGTCACCTGCTTGTTTAACTTATATGCAGAGCACATCATGAGAAATGCAGCGCTGGATGAAGCACAAGCTGGAATGATTGCTGGGAGAAATATCAATAACCTCAGATATGCAGATGACACCACCCTTATGGAAGAAAGTGAAGAAGAACTAAATAGCCTCTTGATGAAAGTGAAAGAGGAGAGTGAAAAAGCTAGCTTAAAACTCAACATTCAGAAAATGGCATCTGGTCACGTTACTTCATGGCAAATAGATGGGGAAACAATGGAAACTTTATTTTCTTGGGCTCCAAAATCACTGTGGATGGTGACTGAAGCCATAAAATTAAAAGATGCTTGCTCCTTGGAAGAAAAGTTATGACAAACCTAGACAGCATATTAAAAAGCAGAGACATTACTTTGCCAACAAAGGTCTGTCTAGTCAAAGCTATGGTTTTTCCAGCGGTCATGTACGGATGTGAGAGCTGGACCATAAAGAAGGCTGAGTGCTGAAGAATTGATGCTTTCAAGCTGTAAGACTCTTGAGAGGCCCTTGGATTGGAAGGAGATCAAACCAGTAAATCCTAAAGGAAATCAACCCTGAATATTCATTAGAAGGATTGATGCTGAAGCTCCAATACTTTGGCCACCTGATTCGAGGAGCTGATTCTTTGGAAAAGATCCTGATGCTGGAAAGATTGAAGACGGGAGGAGAAGGGGATGACAGAGGATGAGATGGTTGGATGGCATCATGAACTCAATGGACATGAGTTTGAGCAAACTCCGGGAGTTGGTGATGGACAGGGAAGCCTGGTGTGCTGCAGTCCATGGGGTTGCACAGAGTTGGACACAACTGAGCAACTGAACAGCGACAGCAAAGTAACAGAGTGGAAAAGCAGAGAAGATGGATATTTATGAAGCTCTGTACCAGGCTCGTTTACATCTTTCATCTTACTTAACCCATACAATACATCCCTGCTAACTACTCATGTTAGTTCTACTTTGCAGATAAGGAAACTGGGTCATGGAGAGATTGCCTGCACTCCTGGTGGGGGCAGAAGTAAGAACTGCGTGGCTCTAAAGACCTTCGATGCCACCTGCCTCATGAAAGGGCACGGCTCAAAGAGACGGAGGGGAGAGATGAGGGGTTGGGCCTGAAGGGACCCGCCTTGAATGCCAGCGTCAGGGGAGCATTGACCGCGGCCCTGACTGGGGACGGTGGTTACCACTCGCATGAGTTACCATGCAGAGGGAGGTCCTGGGAAGGAACACAGAACTCACAAGCCACCACCAGCAAGAGGAAATCAGGAAAGGTCAAAGGAGGGAGGAGACGCCGGCCACATGTCCTATCCACCTCCCAGAGTCCTTCCCTGGGGGTCCATCTTGACTGAGCAATGCGCGCACCACCAGGAAGGGTCCTGAGTCAGGACGACAGGCCAGAGACCACCTGAAAACTTATCTCAACAGCATCAAAGCCGAGACGGGGAGCCCTGCGGCAGAGCGGTCCTCCTGGGCCCCTCACCTGCTGCCCTCTGCCCGGGCGCCCCTCCCAATAAGTCTGCATGCGTCTCCCCCTGGACAGGTCACTTCTGAGTGTGAGACTAGAGCACACTCTTGGGCCCTGGAAGGGGTCCCCCTTTCTGCAGGTGGGAGTAAGATCCCCCATTCTTACTAGGAGTAGGATCCCAGGCTTCACAAACGCAGATACCCAGAAAACTACTTTGAGGAAAAGGGCTTGGTGGACATGGAATAGGAAGGATTTGGGCCAGGGGATTCCAAGCTCCCAATTACCCAGCCGCCACAGCACTGAAGACAAAGAAGGTGACCTCCCAGAGCGCCAGGCTGGCCGACCTCTCAGCCTGATGGCGCCTCCTCAGGGTGGGGTCCGCCAGGCACATGCCAGCGGGGAGAAGGGGTGTGATGCTGTGGGCTGTGAGCTGCCAGCTGCCGCTTCCTGTCCTCTCATGCCGCAGGACGGGGGGAAGGCCCCCGCCCCCCGCTAGTGGCTGATCGTTGGGTCATCCCAGCTGCTCAATCGTCCAGCCTCCCTGCTCGGTGGAATGGACAGCAGCCCAGCCCATCCGGCCAGGCCTGACCCCGGGACCGGCCCGTTATGGATGGGATGAGGGGCTGAGCGTGCGATTCACGCCTGTGTCGGGAGGGACGGCTTCGGGGAGGGCTGAGAGGAGCAGTGAAAGCCAGAGAAGAAAGCCACTGGGATTCAGCAAAGCAGGGCTCTCCTGACCAGGCCGGAGCCGTCTCCCGTCGGCCGGCGGGGGACTACGGCAGGGCCCGCGGGGCGGCCGAGCCACAGATGGAAGCGCCTGGGCCTCTGGTGGACTGTCAGGACGACAGCCGACCCGCCACCCTGCGAGCTCACCGGGGTGAGTGTGGACAGAGGTGACTTCTGCTGCGGCGGTCTGTCACATCTTTGGGCCCGTTTGTTACAGCGGTTAGCTACTCACTCACACAGTCTGGATCACCAGGCATCATGCAGAGAGCACCCTATTCCTGGTTCTTCCACCAACTCAGCCTGTCATCTTGGCTATTCACTGCTGTGGGCCTTGCTTTCACCAGCTGCAGGGAAAGAGGGTCAGTTAACTGATTTCCAAAGTCTTTCCTACAGTGCCACAAGTCTGTTTCCTAAAAGGTGGGTGGTAGTATTTGACAATAGAAACCCAGTCAAATATTTGACAAAATGACCCAAACATCCTTATTAACAATATGGTAAAGCGGAACCTTGCGGTTTGTGGGTGGAGATGGGTTGATTAATGATGTCTAGGGACCACTGATAAGTAGATCAGAAACAACTGGGAAAGGAGGTCTCTAGTGCCACGCTCCAGGGCCCGTTTAAAACCAACGGTTTGGATGGAGACACAGAAAGGAAGCTGAATAAATACAGATCTCCCTCAACTTATAATGGGGCTACATCCCACTATATTCATGGGTTTATCTAGAGACCTACAGCCTACAGCTGGGCAAAATCATTTGAACAAAGGCTGTTTTATAATAAAGTGTTGAATAGCTCATGTCATATATTGAAGACCACACCGAAAGTCAAAAGCAGAATGGTGGTCCAGGTGCAGAACGGTTGTAAGTGTGTGGGTTGTGTACTCTCTAGATTGCTGACTGACTAGGAGCCATGGCTCATTGCCCAGCATCACAAGAGAGGGCTGTACCACATCTCACAGACAGGAAAAGTTCAAAATTCAAAATCCGAAGCATGATTCCTATTGAATGCGTACTGCTTTTGCAGCATCGTGAAGTCAAAACATTGTTGTAAGTCAGGGACGGTGAATATAAGGAAAGCACAAAG